TGGCCTGTCCGTCCATCCGTAACTCCATACGGCCGACCCTCATGTGCACGCGTGTGCGAGCACACGCGACTCCGCGGCACGCGGAATTTCCCAATGTTAGAAGTCGATTCACGACTTCAGGCATTCTCCTTTTCTGGGTGGTATTTTCTTCCCCGACTTCATCCCTCTAGAGAATATTTTAAGAGCGGAAACTCGCGAGGATCTGTGTTTCGTTCTAAAAGAACTCTGGTTAAATGACACGGACAGGACATGAGACATTGCTTAATAGGCACATGACATATACTTTAATGTCTTCTTTTATTTGCTGTATGTAAACTGTATGGTGACGAAAAAATATCGACAAAAAAGACTACTAATCATATAGTAATTAATTATGCGATCTCTTAGGTTGCTTCAAATGTTAGATAAGAAAAGATGCTGTTATTCTGTTATTGACTTCGGCGTCATAGGCTGTAAAAGCTCTCGAAACGAACGTAAAACAATTTCGATATGTCGCTTAACAGGGCGGCGTTATACGGTGGATTACGTCGCGCATTAATTTTCTTGTCGAGTCAGTCGAGCGTGTCAGGATGTTTCTGGGATGTCGCTACCCGTATCATTAAAGTCGCGAATAAATTACTCGCCGGTATACGGACCGCGCGATAGTTTACCGAGTATCGCTGAACACCGTTTCTCAACCCTTTAAACCCGCGATAATGATCATCCTGATATTAACCGCGCTTAGGATCGGAGCAGTTCCTATACTCGGCGCATCACGTGGCTGAGAGTGGCAAACTTAGAACGGAAGGGATCGATATACACGTCGTTATTTTGCATACAAATCGCGCGCGAAGGTTTCAAACTAACTAGGTATTCCGTAATATTTCAATAATCTTGAAAAGGTCTAATGGTCTTAAAATATTAGAATAAGAGAGAGGGAGAGAGAAAATATCTTTAGCAATTGGTGAAATTTATGAAGTTCCGCCACAATTACGGTAACTATTTTAAACAGTGGTAAAAAGCATGTAAATGCAATTCAGTCGATCGACTCGAAGTTCAGAAAAATACTCTGTTTTATTTTATAATCGAGAATTACCTCTCAGTCATCTTCATTGTGCAAAATGGCAGCACGGGGACAGAGCGTAATCCTTTCACCGACGTGGCGTTTCGAGCAGCTGGATCGGGCCCGTGACTCTAATGCGAGAAAAAGGGAAGAATTATCTTCCGAAGCTATCGAGGCTACCAATAAGCAATAATTGTACGTTTAGCGACCGCGCCGCGTTTGCATTCGTGTCGGCACGACAAGCCGGACCGCCGCGCAGAGAGGCGCGGAGAAGCGAGGAGCAAAATGACTATATCTTAATCATCTTTTGGTTATTGGCTCTCTAAACCGTGCGCGCCCAACTTCGCCCGTGGGAACCCATTCTCGCTCGAATGTGGAAGAGAAAGCTTGCCGGGATCCTTCGCAGAAAAATTCGCGGCACGCATACGCGCTTATCATCCGGCAATCGAGACACACAAAGACACCCGCTCCAATTTCAAGATTTTTCCCGAACGGAGCGCCCCGTGCAAAATACACAATAGAACGGCACTTTCGTGCCGTTTGATTCCATAACGAAAGCTTTTGACGCCCGTTTCGAGACGCCCCGTGATCGGTGCGCCCTTAATTGCGCGCGCGCGAGACTGGGAAATTATGCGAAAAATATGAACACGTCAAACACACGTTCACTTGTTTTTGGGGGAGCCGGAAAGTGATGCCGTAAGTGTGAGAAATCGTGTCTACATGATCCGCACGTAAAAGCATTATCGACTCTCATACCCGCGGGGAGAAACTGTCGTTGATTGAGTGCGGGATCGACTCAAAAGACACCCGGAGATGCGTGCCAAAGATAAGTCGGCTCTTTCGGCCGTTTATCGCGCGACTTCGTTGTTAAGTTAAATGCTTACTCGACAATCTTTCTTTTAACAACTGAGAAAGAACGAATCCAAGCTTGGAATTTTAACAGCGATTTCACTATCGTTTCTTAATGTAACTTAATAATTTCTTTTTTTATAAAATTAGGATCTTTTTTTTTTAATATTGTAGAGCTATTAACAGTAGGGACATCTAATGCAATTTTAATGAGAGTTATCACGCGGATAAGCATCCATTTTGACATCTTTCTCTCTGTAGCAATGGATGGCGCCACTGACTGTTATAAATCGATAGAAACAAGATCTAAGCATTCATATACGGACTGTATATTATGTAACATTATATATATCATTATATCACATTTTTTACGATAACGTCATATTTATTTATAATAAACAAATATTGATGCATTGAAAAACTTTCCCGAGATCCGAACTAATCATCTCTATCAATCAATAAATAAAGTTAATAATAAAGTATTTTTAATCGTATAAAAGAAAATAGTATAGTGATTTTATACAATTTTATACAATTTTCTAAGCTAAGAAGATCCATTTTCTTTTCGTATTAATTCAATTTTTGAATTATTAATTCAAAAATTATAAAAAAAGCTATTGTTGCAAGATTTATATAAAAAAATCTAACAACAATTACTACAACAACAACAACAACAACAACAATAATAATAATAATAACAATAATAATAATTCCAGGAAGCATTAGTGTGACATCAACCTTATGAAATGCATTGCATTGACGTATTAATACATATTTGCGCTTAAATAGATGATTCGTATACATCAAGCGAAGGACGTGATAGAAATTCTAACAACTACGCGACGTGCTCCCATGTGCTCCGATAAAGTAATCTGCATGACGTTGGCGGGCAATCTCGGTTATAAGTCGACTCGCGTTTTACATTCTACAAAGAGCTTTAATTTTTCTAAAATAAGAATTTCAATACCTTGTTTTAACGTGCCTGCGTAATAGCTCGATGATAAAAAAATCTTTGATGATTATTGTAAAACTTAAAAATATTTTCTCGATAAGATTTTCTAATGTAGCAATGTATCCTTTGAAATATATTGGTTCTGATCTTCTTTTAAAATGCATTTATATTTATATTTTATCTCTTACAAGATTATTTTTGGGTATTATTATTTATACATTTCTTAATATATTGCAAATAAATATTTTGAAGTGAGCTTTCTAAGTTACTTTTCAAGAAAAATAAAAGTTATATATATACAAAAATAACATATTGCGAAAAATCCTAATGTAAGAGAATTCTATTAAATATTAGAAATAGAAATTCTATTTTCCAAAAAAATTGTCCGAAATGTCACCGAAGCTTATCCGAAAATATTCCCGATAAAACAGGGAGCGTGTGCACTACTCTTACTAACCTATGACGTATGCGAGGAATAAAAACAGCAGCAGGATTATTTTTCACATCGTTATCGTTTCCTGTAAATTTTATATAAGTTGCGAATCCGAAGTTGACAGAAACTTCGCAACAAGATCAGCGTGCGAATCAGCGTGGCTACGCCACGCCAAGCGTCCACGCTGAATCCACACATGATTTCGAAGCTTTCCTGAACAGCGAAGGCAAGACGCTTGAAATCGTCAGTGTCATTAGGTTATCGGGCTCTGACCCTCAAACCGTAAGCCAGCTTAAACACCGTACGAGTTGTTAGTTATCCGAGAAGGATGCGCGCATTCTACACGATTCTCATGTGCGTGATCCTAGCCTCGAGCCTCGCCGAGTGTTGGTCCTTCTCGGACGTGGCGATGTCCCTCGAGAGATTGATACGGCAAGGTAACACCTCGCAAATGTTAAATTTTACTGGCACCGCCGCATCCACGCCATCCCCATCGGAGGTCACGGTAGAAGGTAGAATAATATTCGTCCCACGAAGGACTAATATCGTCACCTGTCAACCGGGTCAGCAAGCCGACCGACGTGGCAAGTGTAGGACAGTGTGGTGACCGAATTCGACAAACGATTAGCGATAAGGTACGTGCGTTTTAAATGCGATATCGTTACGAATCCTAATTTTTTTCCATCACATACCAGATTTCTAATTATATTCTAATATACATTTTTTACAGTACATTCTAATCGTGTATTTTAAATATTTTTTTGTTGTTTACGTAGAGATTATCGGAAAAACAGATACGTAATTACTCGTGAAAAGGAAAAGAAACGCAAAATAAAGTTTTCTCAAAGTAATCCTTGAGAAAAACAAGTTTCTCGTATAAAAATAGTGCGTTATCACGTGTGATAATCGTGTTCATTCAGCAATTTCTCAGCAATAAAGATCGTCACTATCAATAAATGTGCTACTGAGGGTTATCGAGAATTCTCATAGATGAAACTCTGTTTACTTAATACATTTCTTTCTGAATTTAATGATTTAATAAAAATTATCATATCACTTGTTTATTTTATCCTCTATAATTTACACGTTGTATACTATTATTTTTGGAATTAATTTTTTGAAAATTATTCGGACCGTCGAACCTCGCTCGTATTTTTAGCCGAAAGATTGAATTACCGGTAAATCGCGAGCCAAGTCCAAGTAAAGTTCAAGATTTCGTCACGCAGTATTCCCGGTATCGTAATCTCAAATCGATGAAAAATTCCGGACACGCCAGACTGATAAAGCCGTTGGCTCTCGTCTTCGCGATACTTCGCGTCGTAGATAAAGCAACCTTTTAAGCCGGTTTGTACAAGGCCGATTTTAATTAGCCCGTCCGTTTCCGAGTGGTCTGTTTGCGTTTGTTCCGAGGAGTCTGAGACGACGACGACGACGACGGTGGCGGCGTCGCGGAACAGAAATCATCAATCGTCATCAGTTTCTCGGCGATTCGGGCGCGTCCGTTGCTCGACGTCTCGCGATTTTCTGGCGGAAAATGCGAGATTTCGGAGTCGACCATTCAAACGTATCGAATCCGAATCCCGTGTCTCTCGCGCTCACGTGACACTTGTCCGATGAAATTCGAAACGGGACTCTTCGCGACGTGAATAACGCGAGCTGTGAGCCATGAGCTGGACGCCGATAATAATCATTCTGAACCACATATTTTCGAGGCGCGAGCATTAGTACGTCACAAGTGTCGATAATCGCGTCGCGATTAACGTAGTTTATTCAAGAATAACTTCTGCACTTCAGAAATCTCCTGAATCATTTCCTCGAAGCTTCTTGGAGATACGTAAAGATTACCTGTGTGATTACGTGTATTGCACGTGATTTCTCTCTCTCTCTCTCT